AGACTTCCCGGAGCGTCGGTGCTTCAAGTCAGCTATATGTTCTTTCACGCGGGTTTTTATCGATTCTTTTGTTTGACCTATATAAGAGAGACCACATTCACAATCTAACTTGTACACTCCAGCATCTTGTAGAGGGATATTACACTTGACGGATGGTAAAAATTGACTAATCTTCTTCGGCGGCTTGTAGTATGTTTTAATGGAAGCTCGCTTCAAGATGTAGCCAACCTTGTCTGTGACTCCTCTGACATATGGTAGTACAGCAGGTACACGCTCCACTGTGGCCGGCTTCACTCGGTCACTGTGACGTAGGCGCGGGACCCGAAGCTTGTTGTCTTGCAATACTTGCTTGACGTGCTGAAGCTCGGCGGCCAGATATTTTCTGTCACAGATCCCTCGTGCTCTCTGAAACAAAGATTTACCCACGGTAGCTAACTGTGAAGGATGATGGTGAGATTCACCATTTAAATATCGGCTGGTATGGGTCTTTTTTTATACACAGTGACCAATAGTGTTATCAGGATTTCGAATGACTAAAACATCTAGGAAAGCTAAAGAATTATTTGCCTCTAACTCCATGGTGAGAATTGTATTTTAGAGTTTATAGAGTTAAGGTGGTCTAAAAATGCAGTTACTTTGTCAGATGGTAAAATAGTGAAAGTGTCGTCTACGTACCGCTTGTAGAATCTTGGATTTACGGGAGCAGTAAGAAGGGCTTTCTCCTCGAAGTCCTCCATGAATATGTCAGCGACTATGGGAGATACAGGTGAGCCCATCGCCACACCATCTACTTGCTTTTAGAGCTCTTCCTTCCACAATAGATAGCCAGATGTGAGGCAGTGTTTGAGTAATACTGCATATTCAGCAGGCAATGTTATTATCTTCTAGCTTCCTAGTCACAATTGAGATGCAGTCTTCAATAGGTAGGCATGTGAATAGTGACTGAACATCAAAACTGACGATAGTTTCATTGTCAGTGAGGTGTAGGTCTTTTAACTCACTAACAAAATGGTATGAATCCTTTGTGTGTGCTCTAGTATGTCCTCTCAATGGTGACAGTATTTTTGCCAAGTGTTGTGCCAGCTTATAAGTTGGTGAATCAATCTGGCTCACTATAGGACGTAGTGGAGCATTTGGTTTGTGTATCTTCGGTAACCCATACAACCTCGGTGGTTTGGTACATGATGGTATTAGCGAATTCACGTCGAGATTTAATTTTTCGGAGTATTTCTTTATTAAATCGCCAGTTACTTTAAGCGTGTTAGTTGTGGGATCTGTTTTGACCTTTTTGTATGTACTTTCGTCCGATAAAAGCTGTCGTATTTTAAAATTATACTCTGACGTGTCCATTATAATTTATCCGCGCGGAGAATCGTTAGCACTGGTCTGTTCCGTAAGTTAATCAACGCTGTCAATTCGTCTTTAGGAAGGTTTGGTTTCGTCAAGATATTTCGTCCTTGTCACGTCGTAGTGCAGTGCCGGACTTCGAGGAGAAAGCCCTTCTTACTGCTCCTGTAAATCCAAGATTCTACAAGCGGTACGTAGACGACACTTTCACAATTTTACCATCCACCTTAACTCCACCACCATAACCACCTTAACTCTATAAACTCTAAAATACAATTCACAATGGAGTTAGAGGCAAATAATTCTTTAGCTTTCCTAGATGTTTTAGTCATTCGGAATCCTGATAACACTATTGGTCATACTGTGTATAAAAAAAGACCCATGCCAACCGATATTTAAATGGTGAATCTCACCATCATCCTTCACAGTTAGCTACCGTGGGTAAATCTTTGTTTCAGAGAGCACGAGGAATCTGTGACAGAAAACATCTGGCCGCCGAGCTTCAGCACGTCAAGCAAGTATTGCAAAGAAAACATGCTTCGGGTCCCGCGCCTACGTCACAGTGACCGAGTGAAGCCGGCCACAGTCCAGCGTGTACCTGCTGTACTACCATATGTCAGAGTAGTCACAGACAAGGTTGGCTACATCTTGAAGCGAGCTTCCATTAAAACATACTACAAGCCGCCGAAGAAGATTAGTCAATTTTTACCATCCGTCAAGTGTAATATCCATCTACAAGATGCAGAAGTGTAAAAGTTACATTGTTAATGTGGTCTATATAGGTCAAACAAAAAGATCGATAAAAAACCGCGTGAAAGAACATATAGCTGACGTGAAGCACCGACGCTCCGGGAAGTCTGCAGTCTGTGAACATGTTCAAGATCGTCCCCACCATTACATCAGATTTGATAAACCACAAATCCTCGCAAAAGAACACCGACTCCTACCAAGGATGATACGTGAGGCTATTGAAATTAAAAAATATCCTAATTTCAATAGAGAAGATGGGTGGGTGCTGCCATCTGCTTGGGATCCTATAATTAAAAAAATTAAACCCAAACCCAAGCATACCACTGCAAGACTTCAAGATACTGTAAGCTCGTTTTGCGTAAATCGGACCGAAAAATTAATATTAAAAATCTGAAGGTAGCCGGGCTAACTATGACATTGGGACGTCAAACATCTCAGTCCCCCCCGTGACCATGGTTGCTGTAAAGCACCCGAAACGTCGGGAATTAAAAATAAGTAAAATCAGTTAAATAAACGCGATAAAATACGTAAATTTAGTTTTATTCAATTAGTGGTTATGATTACGATTGTCTTAGGTTCAATTTCTGACCTACATAATTAATAAGTGTAACAACCTGTCAGTTTAGTTTCTTTTATTAGTTGTTATAATTTAAGTAATCTCTAGGTAATCAAATATAGTAATTAGAAAAATTCCAATGTTATGTTTTAAGCTTTATTGTAGAACTTGTAGTAGTAGTAGAATTTGTATTAAAGAGTAAACTATATGTGTTTTAATTAGCTGTAATAATATTTAGCAAACATTTATACCCTAATATGCAACTATCCTTACGCTACATAGTTGCGAGTTACATAGCATGCATTTTGCAATAGATCAAAGTACGTAATTACTAAGGCAACTTTTTAGTTATTTTAGCATTTTAATTGTCATGTCATTGATAATCATCGTTAATGTAACATATATAGACGATTTTTCGTATCTATATTCGTTCAAATTGCTTCATTGTAGCTAGATGCATATATCTAGAATTGTTCGGAAATGGGATGGAGTCAGAGCAAAGAAGAAAATACAAGCAAACAGCCTAGTAGCTCAGACTGTCAACAATCATTCAGATTATAAGATGGAGTGTATCAGCTGGACGTTGACCGCACTGGTGATAGTGTTTGTCCTCGTAGTGGAGTACCTACTATGGCGCCGCTGCAAACATGTAGCGAGAGGCTGGGTAATGAAGAAGAGCGTAAGCAATCCGACCATGGTGAGGGTGCAGGCGGTTCCCAACCAAGCCGCACCTACGCCTGCCGGTTTTGCGTAGTGTGTATGAATAGTATATATTATAGTGTGCGAGTGTTAACCTAGTGTAAGTTAAGTGTTTATCTTTGTATAAGGAGGGGAATGGTGTAGGGACACAATATAGGTATATATAATATACGGGCTCTTTAGATCGCGTGTCCGGTGTCCTACATCATATCCATACTTATTTAAGTATAACAGCTATATGTATGTGTAATGTGTACCTATAATAGTTGTGGCCGTGAAGGAAAAGCAGAGATCTCCCGCCGGGCAAGGTGTTCTGCCCGGGGAGCGGCCAACGCTCCGTGTGATAGTTCGGAGATGTTCTATGTATACTGTCTATGATTCGGAATGTTAATAGCGCGATTTAGGCTTCGGTGTATTTCGCTGTGCTAGTGGCGCGACGACAGCGCCGCTACATCACCCCCCTGCTCAGACCGGAGGTCGATAGTGCAGCCTCGTTGCCGACGAATGTGCAAGTGCCAGGAGATTGCCTTGTAGTCTGCGGTGAGTTGAGAAGAAGGCAAGTAATCTGCGAGAGTGCCGTGGAGCAGAGGCGAGCAGTAAGGCTCAGAGCCGTGCCGAACACTGTATAGCGCAGAGAGTAGCTTGAAGGAACAGGAAGCATTATTATTCCAGTGATGCGATGAACCTTGTGAAGTTAGATGGCTTGCAGGATATGAAGACTGCGGACGATATCTGCTCGGGAGCTAATGGGTGGGGTACTCTATGACGATGATGAAGCTTGAAGTTTCCGAAGGTTGTTGGTTGCGTGTTCATATCACGTCGGGGTCACCACTGTGACCATAGATGGAAAAGGGGAGATCTCCCGCCGGGCAAGGTGTTCTGCCCGGGCAGCGGCCAACGCTCCGTGTGATAGTTCGGAGATGTTCTATATATACTGTCTATGATTCGGAATGTTCATAGCGCGATTTAGGCTTCGGTGTGTTTCGGTGTGCTAGTGGCGCGACGACAGCGCCGCTACATAGTTATAGGTGTGGCGGCTGCGTCCGCCACGTTTAAAAATTAGTCGCAAATATATCCCCGTTTACATGACACGTGTCTTCATTTATTGCAACCTTAATTATAAACCTTAATGGACTTAACAATAAATAATTAAATTAATTAAATACAGTACTCATAAGACTGTACAATCTCAGAAGAGAACGAAAGAAGGAATAATATGCTAACTTGTTGATTAACGGACACCTGTTCCTAAGACCCACAAATGATATAAAATAATCAATTATGGACGAAAGGTTAACGTGCAGTATGTTATTGTGCAGTATGGTTGCATGCCGTAGGTGTGTGTGCAGTATGTACGCAGCAGTATGTTATTGTGCAGTATGTACGCATGCAGTAGTGACGTGCAGCACCTGTAGTATCTGGCGCAGCGGATAGTGCGCGGCGGGCGGCGCGTGCGACAGCGATCGCGCGCGTGGCGGGCGGCAGTATGCTATTGTGCAGTATGTACGCATGCAGTATGTGACGTGCAGCACCTGCAGTATCTGGCGCAGCGGGTCGCTCGCGGCGGGCGGCACGTGCGGCAGCGCGGCGGCGAGCACGCGCGCGGCGGGCGGCTGTATGCTATTGTGCAGTATGTGACGTGCAGCACCTGCAGTATCTGGCGCAGCGGATAATGCGCAGCGGGCGGCGCGTGCGGCAGCGATCGCGCGCGAGGCGGGCGGCAGTATGCTATTGTGCAGTATGTACGCATGCAGTATGTGACGTGCAACACCTGCAGTATCTGGCGCAGCGGATCATGCGCAGCGGACGGCGCGTGCGGCAGCGATCGCGCCCGAGATGGGCGGCAGTATGCTATTGTGCAGTATGTACGCATGCAGTATGTGACGTGCAGCACCTGCAGTATCGGGCGCAGCGGGTCGCGCGCGGCGGGCGGCACGTGCGGCAGCGCGGCGACGAGCGCGCGCGCGGCGGGCGGCAGGCGGGCGCGCAGCAGCGCTAGTGCCGCCAGCGACCGCGCCACGTCACCGCCTTCCGCCACGCCTTCGGACCCCTCCGAGTTCTCAGAACCGGACTCCGCTTCGGCGCGATGCTCCAACTGATTACTGTACTGCCTGCGTTCCCACGACGATCTAGAAGTGCAAGCATCCCACTTTCGTTCATTCACATGTCTCTACCTGGAATTCTGTAACACAAACCCTACCCTATGTACCTATATAATTACTGTATGCCGGGAGTTTGTGAAACGCTCCCGAAAACGAAGACAGACGATAGTACTAATTATATACCTTTGAAGATGGGACTAAAAGAAAATCGATTCCGACGAAAAAAAAACCCATTTTTTTTTTACAACATCTAATTAGCTTTATTCACACCCTATCATGTTAGTACAGCTAAACGAAACGATAATTTCATAAAAAAATCATGAAAAGACTTAAACATAAAATCAGCAGAGAAACTTCAAATATCTAAATCTCAGCTGATAAGGGTCAATAATACACGCTATTTAAATCAGTTTTTAATAGACTATTTAAAATCAGTGTGATGACAAAAATTCTGTTTTTGATGATTAAAGTTTAATTTAAGCAAGTTTTAACAAATAAACGTACCGAAATAAAAAATAGAAAACAACCTTTTTTGTATCTCTCAGCGTCTTAATATAAAAAATAGGAATTCCACCGAGGCAAAAAAACTTGTGGTGTATTTATCATAGCGCGGTAGTATGAAGCTTGTGGAAATGGTTGTTGAAAAATCACATCAAAAAATTAGAGTACATCTGTTTACCGTCAAAGGTGTAAAACGATGCAATTAATCAGTAGCCGCCTGCCTCCTTGCGCAGACAAAAATGAATGGTGTGTTACGATTGGTCGTGCGAGACGATCTTGATGGAATGTTTCTTACAGAACGGAGACCAGTGTAGCGAAATGCACAACGGGTTCAGGTACTCAACGCTAGAGAATGTTGTAACTAAATTACTGTATTTAGCTCGCTAATGTCCTTAAAATAGAAGTCATATTCGCGCGCAATGTAAAATATACATTTATGATTTTAAATAGTTGTAAATCCCTGAAAGACGCCGATTGGCGTTTTACGCAACAAAGTAAGAAAACTCAACGTTTCTTGAATCGAAATATCAAAAAAAACTATATAGCATTTCACTTATAAATTACATGCACATTTGTCATGCACATGAAATTTATAAGCGTACAACTATACATTACGTCGGCCGGCGTGGTCCGAATCTGAGTATGAAAAAATAATAAGCCGATCGGCGTGCGCCGCATTGAATGTGTTAAAAACGGCAAGACTCCAGGCGAGGATGGAATTACAGCGGATATTCTGAAAGCGGGTGAAAACTGATACTTGAAGTTCTTCAGAAACTCTCGAATTCCGTCCTCCTTGGTGTGACTACTCTAAAGGCGTGTAGCAGAAGTGCGGTGGTCTTGCTCTTCAAGAAACGCGACAACGCTCTCTTGAAGAATGAAAAAACGATTTTCCTTTTGAGCCGCATCTATGTGCTGTTTTCGAGTCATTACGAATCGTCTTCCACACAGACTTCCAGACTCAACGACTTCCAGCCTACCGAACAAGCCGGTTTCCGAAAAGGCTTTAGTATCATAGAACACATATATACCCTTTGGCAAATTTTACAGAGGACCGAAGAGTAAAGAGTTGCCATGAGGCTTTCTCATAGTCCACATACTATGAGAAAGCCTTTGATTCTGTCGAAATTTGGGCGATGCTACAGTTCCCTTCGATCAACAATACCAGCTAGATGTCGGGTCGGCGCAAGAAATCCATCTAAGTAAATAACAGCGCAAATGAGACGTGAGCTCTTGTTTCGTTTAGTTCACTTGAAACACAGCCAATGTAAACACGTTTCACAATGCCGCAATGTGTATATTTAAAAGTTGCAAGAATAATGCCCGAAAAAGTTATTTAACGACCGGAGTGTCTTACTTTCGGTAATTACATGTTTAATATGTTATATTTTAACCTCTAAACTAACAAATAATATCATATTTTAAACAATATTACTGATGAAAACCACCCCTACAAATGTTTTGCCAATGTTGACCAATACACGCGCAAATATTTGTGAAACAGAACATGGACATGGATGGCATGAAGTAGATTTGTATTGTAATCATTTTTAATAATTCGTTACCAAAACTTTAAATAATGGTAATTGCTACTTTTGTCTTTGTTTGTGTAATTCCAACAGATACTTAGATTTTTTTAGCTTTCCTAGCTTTCTTCCCCGGTCGAGCCGACCCATTAGTGCTACAACTATACTACTAATATAATTGCAACATTGCATACATTGCAATCGGAATTTCGCTACTGTGCTGACAAATGTTGTACAAATATAAAGCATAGAATTATAATTGACAAACTGTATTACGACATAGTGTCTGCCCTAAGTGAGGCCGCAATTGCTAGTCGAGAGTACAAGAAACATTGGTCAAAAAACCCGTTGTAGGATGGAACAGACATGTTAGAGAGGCTCATGGGGAGGTTAGACAGAAATTTTATCTTTGGATGGACACGAATGGACGGCCCAATCATGGTAAATTATTTAATGAAATGCGTAGCACCCGAAAGGTATTTAAATCACGCTTAAAATGGTGTCAAGATCATAAGCATCAAATTGAAATGGATGAAATAGTGTCATCGCATACCAAAAAAGATTTTAATGCTTTTTGGAAAGGCACTAATAAGATGAGAATTCGGCCTGGCCTTTCCGTGAGTGTGGGCGGGGTGAGTAACCCAAAGGATACTGCCAACCTCTTTAGGGAGCTTTTCTCTGTAAAGTCGACACTAGGGTCATATCCTTATGAATCGGTGCAAGATGCTGGGACAGTCATTGATGGAGTAGGGGACAGAATAAGTGTGCAAGATGTAGCAAAAGTCATAAAATCTATGTCTAGGGGCAAGTCTCCAGGTCATGATTGTCTCAGTATCGAGCATCTACAGTATGCAGGCCCACATATACACCGCGTAGTGGCTATGTTCTACACTACATGTTTACGGCATGCATATCTGCCCCCTGATCTAATGAAGACCATAGTAGTACCGGTGGTAACTTGACGTGGTGGGTGACTTGTCAGATAAATGTAATTATAGACCAATATCCTTGGCAACCATCGTAGCAAAGATATTGGACAGTGTGCTTAATACGCAGATCAATAAATATCTAAAACTGCATGACAATCAGTTCGTATTTCGTACCGGACTGTACACAGAAAGTGCGATACTTTGCCTTAAGCACACTGTCAAATATTATGTTGATAGGAAAACAAGCGTATTGTTTCCTTGACCTGTCGAGGGCATTCTGATTGATCTGGTCTCCTACAATATACTGTGGAAAAAATTGGAGGATATTAAATTACCAGGTCAACTGATACAGATTTGAAAATATTGGTATGGGGGACAGGTCAATTGCGTTAGATGGGCTAATGTTTTGTCTGAACCATACCGGTTGGAGTGCGGGGTGAGAAAGGGTGGGCTAAGCTCACCCAGTCTCTTTAACCTCTATGTAAATGCACTTATTGAGGCGCTTAGCAGCATGCATGTCGGATGTCATATAGATGGAATTTGTGTAAATAACTTGAGTTACGCATATGACATGGTGCTGCTGAGTGCATCAATATGTGGATTAAGAAAATTGCTTAGTGTTTGTGAGACATTCGCAGCCGAACATGGGCTGAAGTACAATGCACAAAAAAAGTCAGTATATGATCTTTGGGGCCGGACGGGATCGTACGCGTAATGTGCCTCCTATTAAATTGAATGGCACACCATTAACTAGGGTTGACTCTTTCAAATATTTGGGTCATATGGTTACGTCCGACCTCAAGGATACTACTGACATAGAAAGGGAACGTAGGGCTCTGTCGGTTCGTGCAAATATGATTGCACGTAGGTTCGCGAGATGTTCAAGGGAGGTTAAACTCACTTTATTTAGTGCGTTTTGTACATCTCTTTACACGTACAGCCTGTGGAAGGACTACACGCAACGGGCCTATGGAGCTCTCCGGATCCAATATAACAACGCGTTCCGGGTGCTGATGGGGCTGTCCCGACGCTGCAGCGCATCAGCGATGTTTGCTCAAGCACATGTAGATTGTTTTTACGCAACTTTGCGTAAAAGAGCTGCATCGCTGGTGCGTAGGGTAAGGGCCAGCCCCAATGGCATTCTTAAAATGATAGGTGACAGAGTGAACTGTCCCTATCTGCAACATTGTTGTAGACTGCATATGTTCAGCAGCTAATTTGACTGCTGTTTAAGTGCATTACGGCATTTAGTAATAATTTAAAAGTTTTAATATATTTGTCTCGTCATATTTTGTTAGATTATTAGATTTTAATTTTTTTTAAATAATTATAATTAAAAAAAAGTAATGTAAATGAAAATGAGTCTTGGATACTTGAAATTAAATAAATAATAATAATAATAATATTTGCAGCATGGCTCTAGCACGTTTTAAAAGTATGCAATGGGCGATCTTATTGCTGACAGCAATTTCTTCCAGACAACCAATAAATGGACAGGATTACATGAAGATGACAGGAGTAGGGCAAATTGGTGTGATAAAAAAGAATACACATATTTATATATATACTATACATAGATACATACATACTACGAACATATATACATACAAAAACTAAAATAGATTTATATTGAATTAGTTAATTAAATGCAATCAATATACTACATACTATATTATATTTAATGGCTAGTGTGGAAAGTATGTATACCAACAATCATAAATGCCCAAAACATAAAAATAACTTTAATTAAACTTATGATCATATTATAAATTACTTTAGTGTTCAACGCGACTCAACTTCCTGGACCAAATTCGAAGAAGAAAACAGAAACACAACAAAATGACGTAGCTCGCAAGTTAATAACGGGAAAAAGAACTTTATTTGTTACACGTTAAGGTTGATTTCACACCAAAGGTTATTTAATTTATGTCTTTTCATTTCCAAGTGATAGGAGTATTGTATAGCTTTGTTCTTATTTTGTGACTAATGATCGTAAGATTTGTGACTTTATTACTAGATAGGTTGTAATTAGGTTGAGCTTAAAACTATTTTAATTTTTTGTCTCATTTCTTTAGTAAACAAATGTAGCTGTGTTTATATTCACGCGGAGAGAATTTAGCTACGATTTTGTACGTGACCCGTTATCTAGTTGGTATTGTTGATCGAAGACAGTTCCTAAAGCGGTGCCAAGTTGACTCTCGGTATATCGAAGAAACCAGAGTACAAAGCACACTATAGTCAACCAAATCTAAAAAATACCTTTTGACAGCTGTCAAACTATTTGCACTAAGCATGCCAACCAAAAAATGGGAACGTACAATATTCGATTCTTAAAAAAAATCGATATTGATTATTTAGAGTTGGTAATCATTTACAGTTTGATATGAATAATACCAAAATAAATAAGAAACGGATAATTTAAAATACACAATCTGTAGGACTTAAAGTGCATCACTTTTAATAATAATCTCTGTACTCTTTCCAGTTCCAGATACTTCACTTTAGTGGCCCCTCCCCAAACTGACAGCTTATCAAAATGGATTGACCTAATGTAACTCTCGTTAAGTCTACACTTACACTAACTCAAAACTATCACATCAATTGTAAAATCAAAGCGACTAAGAGTAATAATCCAGTCATCAATATTAATGTAAATGCTTCTAATGTTTTGTGATACAACAGTGAGATCGTTGTTTATTATGTGTAAATCTTTTGTAACATCCTGAACTTCACATACTTTCGATAGTGCAAAAATAACATCAGAAAATTGTTTTATATAATATAAACATATAAATATACCCTCATTGCAACATACAGAAAGCACAGCTTGTAGCTATATAATGTAACTCACGTGCGCGAGGAGGAGGGGGGTGTTATTTGGCGTGGAGGGGGCGGCGGCGGGGGCGGGGGCGGGCGCGGGTGCAGGTGCGGGCTCCGCAGGTGCAGCGCCAGCGCGCACACGTAGCGCGCCGGCACGCACACCGGCCGCATCAGCGCGCTCAGCGCCGCGCCAGACCCCGACTCCAACACTGCCCAATGCATTGTCACATAGTACATCATTTAGCCCCGGCACACGTTATCTTTATATGATTAACTTCCAATAAAAAGTTAAAAATAAAAACATGTGTGCAATTTATACTCGGCAAAAATGAAACCCTTAGCATACTAAGCCTCCACAGAATCAGACGAATGCAGAGAGTATCAGGAAATAGGTGTACGGTATAAGCATAAATAAATTTATAATAAACACTGTATCCAGTACTCTATCTCATTCTCTCGCAGGCTAAATCCTATAGATATATACGTTTCTTTTTTTTAATGTCGCTTTTTCGTTTCATCGAGTTTGAAATCACAACGATTCTAAAGAAGTATTCACTTCAAAAAAGAATATATATATATATATATATATATATATATATATATATATATATATATACACATATAGAAAACACTATATTCTATCTTATTCTCGCGTAGACCAAATCCTATAGAAATGTATACATTTGTCTCTTTTTAGTGTCGCTTTTTCGTTTTATCTAGTTTCAAATCACGATTCTAAAGATGTTTTCACTTCAAAAATAGTTGGACTATGTAGTATCCGTGAGAAACCGATTCCCTTAGATTAAGGAAAAAAGGCAGATGAAGGGCGCAGAATAAATAATGTGAAGTCGACATTTAGTTATGAGTGCGTGACAACACTGTGAGCCAGACTGGATAATGAAAAAATCCTAACTTTTAATCTATATGTAATGGTAGGCATAATCCAGAAGTGCAATTTTAAGTATCAGTAAGAATTTTTAATGAAATTATTTTTTGTTGAATATTTTGATAAGATACCCCATTTTCTTGGAATTTTTTCAATAAACATTTCTCAATCAAAAATCAAATCAAATCATTTGCATCGTGACCACCAACCCGGAACAAATTGTTTGTTTATTTTAACAAACAATTTAACTGACAGTAACCTGATGCGCGAAACGAGTAACGAGCTCAAAAAGTCGTGGGTTCAAATCTGCCATTCGAATAGGTCGTAAACGTGAATACAAGCATCTGAGTAGTTACGTTGTACCAGTTCTGGCTCACTGAGTCAGAAGTGGTACAAGTACGACGTTCGTCGACTCACGATCCTAAACAAAAAGGTTTTGGCATGCTCTGATCACGAATCTGCGGTCCATTTTTGCGTAGGATGCACGGTTCCGGAGATGTGCAGATCAATTAACTCTTATCTAATTGATAGAATTCATACTCGGCAAAAATGAAACCCTTAGCATACTAAACCTCCACAGAATCAGACGAATGCAGAGAGTATCAGGAAATGATGTACGGTATAAGCATAAATAAATTTATAATAAACACTGTATCCAGTACTCTATCTCATTCTCTCGCAGGCTAAATCCTATAGATATATACGTTTCTTTTTTTTTAATGTCGCTTTTTCGTTTCATCGAGTTTGAAATCACAACGATTCTAAAGAAGTATTCACTTCAAAAAAGAATATATATATATATATATATATATATATATATATATATATATATATATATATATATATATATACACATATAGAAAACACTATATTCTATCTTATTCTCGCGTAGACCAAATCCTATAGAAATGTATACATTTGTCTCTTTTTAGTGTCGCTTTTTCGTTTTATCTAGTTTCAAATCACGATTCTAAAGATGTTTTCACTTCAAAAATAGTTGGACTATGTAGTATCCGTGAGAAACCGATTCCCTTAGATTAAGGAAAAAAGGCAGATGAAGGGCGCAGAATAAATAATGTGAAGTCGACATTTAGTTATGAGTGCGTGACAACACTGTGAGCCAGACTGGATAATGAAAAAATCCTAACTTTTAATCTATATGTAATGGTAGGCATAATCCAGAAGTGCAATTTTAAGTATCAGTAAGAATTTTTAATGAAATTATTTTTTGTTGAATATTTTGATAAGATACCCCATTTTCTTGGAATTTTTTCAATAAACATTTCTCAATCAAAAATCAAATCAAATCATTTGCATCGTGACCACCAACCCGGAACAAATTGTTTGTTTATTTAAACAAACAATTTAACTGACAGTAACCTGATGCGCGAAACGAGTAACGAGCTCAAAAAGTCGTGGGTTCAAATCTGCCATTCGAATAGGTCGTAAACGTGAATACAAGCATCTGAGTAGTTACGTTGTACCAGTTCTGGCTCACTGAGTCAGAAGTGGTACAAGTACGACGTTCGTCGACTCACGATCCTAAACAAAAAAGGTTTTGGCATGCTCTGATCACGAATCTGCGGTCCATTTTTGCGTAGGATGCACGGTTCCGGAGATGTGCAGATCAATTAACTCTTATCTAATTGATATCCGGTGAAGGCCTCCACCGTCATTAGCGCTCCATTGTTCTTATCTATTTATCTATTGTTCATTGAATACCGTCATTATCTATTCTTTCTCAGCGTGGTGCTATTGTATTATACTCCTTTGTTCCTATCTACAACACTAATCTGAATCATCAACAAAATACATTACCTAATTTTGTTACAATTTTTATTTACGAAATACAAAATCTTATTACTTATTATCTATAAAATAGGAGCGAAACATCTCATCCACTAAAATATCGTTGTAAAATGTGTTCCCTGTAAATATGCTCGTGAAACTAAGCATTAAACACCCCCGAAACTTATATAGCAAATACATTAAGCAATATCGCCACAAACTGAAGTCCACTCATTCTGAATCCTATCAACATTCCAGTTCCATCTTTTACAATTTCTTTTTAAAAACTCTAGATGATATCGTACAGGTGCTCGTCCGAATGAATCAAAATATTGACCGATGTCATTCGTATCGATATATAAAGCTACCGAATGCGGCCCTGGTTTATCATCTATACCCAACAAAATGATCTCCGTAATTTTGAATACAGGCCTTCAATCTGCGCGGCCAGTCGTCTATCGCAGCACGAACGAGGTCCATATCAATATCGGCGGCTGCCTTAATCAAGGATGTCTTGAGTGACTCCAAATTGGGATGAGGCTTTGAGCACGCCTTTTCCTCCAAGTGTTGCCATATCTTGTAATCTAACGTATTAAATCTGGACTGGAGGAGGAGCAGTCTTCGTGCTGGATGAAGTCGATTTCACGTGCCGCCAGCCAGTCTTGTGTGCTCTTCGCTCTATGAGCTGACGCCGAATCTTGTTGGAATACCCAGTGCCTGTTATTGAACATGGTATGACAGATTTTACATTACATATCCTCATAAACATTTTCAATGTAGAGAAATGGTTATTCTAGACGTGAAAGTATCTAATAAAAATGATGCGTTTATCTATCATTATTTGTTTCGGCCAAATTATCCTTTCAATTATTTGTCGCCAAAAGACAAAAAACTGTTCGTTATTGTGAAACACACGTGCACGGCATTCCATATTTTGATGTGACCCAAGAATTAAAATGTGCCTACAAACAAGAGAACATCATCCCCATATTAAATTGGTATATTAGAAATTTGTGCAAAGACTAAGTGATCGCACACAAAGGACAGAAAAACAATTTTTAAAAATGTAGACGACGAATGATAGAATTTTTAATATTGAAGAATACAAATGTCCAAAATACAATGATTTGGTAAATGTCATAAATTTAAACAAACGTTATGTGTGTAACAATCATATATTTGCAAAAAATAATCACAAAATTTTACATTGTTCTTGTGACGAAGTGTGGGTTTTTTACAAGTGGTTATTGCTTGAAAATAAAATTTTAAATTAATCATAAATTTTGTTTGATTTCCCAAAAACATTAGTTATAGTATTCGCATACAAAGGTGGTTCAACAGAAAAACAATTTTTAAAAATGTTAACGACGAATGATAGAATTTTTAATATTGAAGAATACAAATGTCCAAAATGCAATAATTTGGTAAATGTCATAAATTTAAACAAACGTTATGTGTGTAACAATCATATATTTGCAGAAAATAATCACAAAACTTTAAATTGTTCTTGTGACGAAGTGTGGGTTTTTTTACAAGTGGTTATTGCTTGAAAATAAAATTTTAAATTAATCATAAATTTTGTTTGATTTCCCAAAAACATTAGTTATAGTACTCGCATACAAAGGTGGTTCAACAGAAAAACAATTTTTAAAAATGTTGACGACGAATGATAGAATTTTTAATATTGAAGAATACAAATGTCCAAAATACAATGATTTGGTAAATGTCATAAATTCAAACAAACGTTATGTGTGTAACAATAATATATTTGCAGAAAATAATCACAAAATTTTACATTGTTCTTGTGACGAAGTGTGGGTTTTTTACAAGTGGTTATTGCTTGAAAATAAAATTTTAAATTAATCATAAATTTTGTTTGATTTCCCAAAAACATTAGTTATAGTATTCGCATACAAAGGTGGTTCAACAGAAAAACAATTTTTAAAAATGTTAACGACGAATGATAGAATTTTTAATATTGAAGAATACAAACGTCCAAAATACAATGATTTGGTAAATGTCATAAATTCAAACAAATTTATGTGTGTAACAATCATATATTTGCAGAAAGTAATCACAAAATTTTACATCGTTCTTGTGACGAAGTGTGGGTTTTTTACAAGTGGTTATTGCTTGAAAATAAAATTTTAAATTAATCATAAATTTTGTTTGACTTCCCAAAAACATTAGTTATAGTATTCGCATACAAAGGTGGTTCAACAGAAAAACAATTTTTAAAAATGTTAACGACGAATGATAGAATTTTTAATATTGAAGAATACAAACGTCCAAAATACAATGATTTGGTAAATGTCATAAATTCAAACAAACGTTATGTGTGTAACAATCATATATTTGCAGAAAATAATCACAAAATTTTACATTGTTCTTGTGACGAAGTGTGGGTTTTTTACAAGTGGTTATTGCTTGAAAATAAAATTTTAAATTAATCATAAATTTTGTTTGATTTCCCAAAAAACATTAGTTATAGTACACAATATATATTAATTGTTTACACCAACACTTTCATTTTTGATTTCACCCCTTAAAACTTTAGATGTGTGTAATGTTTCACTTTATACATCCGTTTACTGCTATTGTGGCAGGACCAAGTGGATGTGGGAAGTCAAATTTTGTAACAAATTTCATAAAATCAGTTACAGAAATATGTAATTGTGATATTATTCAGATCACATGGTGCTTTGATGAAATGCAACCTTTATATAATTTACTAAATGTTAACTATCATCAAGGAATTCCAAATCTTAACATGTTTGATACTGAATACCCACATCTCGTTATTATTGATGATCTAATGAGAGAGTCCGATTAATGTTTTTGGGAAATCAAACAAAATTTATGATTAATTTAAAATTTTATTTTCAAGCAATAACCACTTGTAAGAAACCCAAACTTCGTCACAAGAACAATGTAAAATTTTGTAATCATTTTTTTCAAATATATGATTGTTACACACATAACGTTTGTTTAAATTTATGACATTTACCAAATCATTGTATTTTGGACATTTGTATTCTTCAATATTAAAAATTCTATCATTCGTCAACATTTTTAAAAATTGTTTTTCTGTTGAACCACCTTTTGTATGCGAGTACTATAACTAATATTTTTGGGAAATCAAACAAAATTTATGATTAATTTAAAATTTTATTTTCAAGCAATAACCACTTGTAAGAAACCCACACTTCGTCACAAGAACAATGAAAAACTTGTGATTATTTTTTGCAAATATATGATTATTACACACATAACGTTTGTTTAAATTTATGATATTTACCAAATCATTGTATTTTGGACATTTGTATTCCTCAATATTAAAAATTCTATCATTCGTCGTCAATATTTTTAAAAATTGTTTTTCTGCTGAACCACCTTTGTATGCGATCACTTCGTCTTTGCACAAATTTCTAATGTACCAATTTAGTATGGGAATGATGTTCTCTTGTTTGTAGGCACATTTTAATTCTTTGGTCACGTCAAAATATGGAATGCCGTGCACGTGTGTTTCGCAATAACGAACAGTTTTTTTGTCTTTTAGCGACAAATAATTGAAAGGATAACTTGGCCGAAACAAATAATGATCGATAAACGCATCATTTTTATTAGATAGCTTCACGTCTAGAATAACCATTTCTCTACATTGAAAATGTTTATGAGGATATGTAATGTAAAATCCGTCCATGTCGATGATGTATCTAATATTTTTTAGATTTTGTATCATTTTGAACCAAAATGTTAAAAGTATTTACACGTGACTAAAAATATGTTTGTTCCTACTAACTTCACATAACAATGCTTCATTACTTCCCATCATCCCATTTCTTCCTTCTGCTCTTGTCTTCCTGTAATTTAAGTAAACAGAATCACATTCACTAATGATCAACTAATGACTGTCATTGTTAAAAAAGTATTTTTTAACTACTCTAGTATACGTAGATGCGGTACACACACAATATTTAAATATAATTTGTTAACACTAAATCATACACACGTAAGAAAATAACAGAAAGAAAAGTAAGTTTGTCAATAGATTAAACATCTATGGCCTTTGATGCGTTGAAGTAACACAAATGTAGTATTGATAGATCCACTGCGGTTAAACGACCATACACTAACTCCATGTCTGCAGTCGCTTGGTCTTATATAGTACCAGTAAGTAATAATTCTAATCTAAAGAATTTCTACAGTGGAATTGATAGTAACTTTATGCGTCAACAAGCTTATCTCACATTCTGTTGCTTATCTCAGCATTACTTCGTGTTGCGTCTTATTCAGTGTATTGATGACTCAAATACATTTTGTATAACACAAAATAATGCAATTTAATATTTAGAAATCACTATAGTTGATCATTCCTATGTTAGTCATTGAGTAGATTGGTACTGTAATAATCTACTAATAGCAGTAATATCATGGATACACTAGATGTACAACAACATCTGAAAAAGATTCACCCCAGTCTAGAAAATAATGTTTATGCTGCCAATAGACTGCCCATGTACACCCACGTGCCAACGTATATAATATGCAATTTGGATACAGATGATAAACCAGGGTCACATTGGGTAGCTTTATATATCGACACGAATGACGTCGGTCAATATTTTGATTCATACGGACAAGCACCTGTACGATATCATCTAGAGTTTTTAAAAAGGAATTGTAAAAGATGGAACTGGAATGTTGATAGGATTCAGAATGAGTGGACTTCAGTTTGTGGCGAATATTGCTTAATGTATTTGCTATATAAGTTTCAGGGATGTTCAATGCATAGTTTTACGAGTATATTTACAGGGAACACATTGTACAACGATATTTTACTGGATGAGATGTTTCGCTCCTATTTTATAGATAATAAGTAATAAGATTTTGTATTTCGTAAATAAAAATTGTAACAAAATTAGGTAATGTATTTTATTGATGATTCAGATTACCGTTGCAGTTAGAAACAAAGGAGTATAATATAATAGCACTGATAATCCGACGCACGAATAAACAATGACGGTATTCAATGAACAATAGATAAATAACAATGGGGCGCTAATGACGGTGGAGGCCCACACCGGATATCAATTAGATAAGAGTTAATTGCATCCGTAATCATAAACCGTGCATCCTACGCAAAAATGGACCGCAGATTCGTGATCAGAGCATGCCAAAACCTTTTATCTTTTTAGGATCGTGAGTCGACGAACGTCGTACTTGTACCACTTCTGACTCAGTGAGCCAGAACTGGTACTAACTAACTACTCATCTGAAGCTTTCAGACAATCTAGTTGGGAGTAACTAGCGTTTTGTTCTGTATTTCTTAAATTAACAAACAAAATTACAAGCAAACTCACACTTCTCTATAATAATTGCATTAATAAATGTACACCATTAGATTTTTATAGATTTATTAGATAGATAGATAGATAGATTTTTATATGCAACTCATTTCCAAATCGTTAGAAGAATTTATATAAACAATTCGTATGTTTTATAAATCAAACATATTTTTGCATTATATTCCTTTAAATTTCGCAACGCTCTTGTAAATAAATCTATCTACCAACGCTAGCTATACCTATTCTACTTCATGAAAAATATTTTAGGGAGTATTAAACTGGTAACAGAAGGATATTATCGTGAAGGTTTTGTGTTCCTAGTCGTTAGTATTTATTACCATGCAAAATAATATTAAATTGCTTAAAATATCGTTTTTACCTATGAAACGATTTCCTTCTTCTTTTTTATTTTAGGAATGTATTTTTACAATGTCTAAATGCGTAAGACGACATAATTAAACGAAATTTGTCACGTATTAACGATTCGACGCAACGTTTAGTAATGATGCGAGTTTATATTTGCTTTTGAATTTGTATTTGCTTTGCTGGCCGTGCTCACGTTCTCCATCTGCCTTTTGTTCTATAATGTAAGCCTATTTCAGTCTTCTGTTGTAGATAAATAAATATTTACTGATATTTTATTATAGTTTTAATGATGGAACAAAAATTTAAAAAGAGTGAAATGTATTTGCCACGTATTAAGGATTCGAAGAAACGTTTAGTAATGATGCGAGTTTGTATTTCCTTTTGAATTTGTATTTGCTTTGCTGGCCGTGCTCAAGTTCTCCATCTGAAGTATGTTCTATAATGTAAGCCTATTTCAGTCTTCTGTTGTAGATAAATAAATATTTACTGATATTTTATTGTGGTTTTCATGATGTAAAAAAAATTGAAAAAGAGTGAAATGTATAGTACTTACGTGCGTCTTTCATTGATATCAACATGGCGACGATAATGTAATGAAGGTTGGGCATTATTGGCCCATCAGCGAATATAAATCCCCACAGATGAGGTATCTCTGATCGTGGAAATTCCCTCCCAAATAGCAGCCGAAGCCATCGACTGAAAGTAAGTTAATAATAGAACGTAGGACGAATTAATATAATTGTCTATAGTGAACAGTCGTGAAAGGAAAGGAAGGATGATGCTGGGGTGTAAAGGTTACGTTTTTGTTGTATCATTTTGTTATTGTGGCAATTAAAGATCGACGAATAAATAAAATATTCGTACGTAGTAGAGCCACACTGCAGCTATATTATAGTTGTAGCACTAATGGGTCGGCTCGACCGGGGAAGGACCACGCTCTCACAGAATACCAGCGTAAAATAGCAGCTTAATACAGTTGTGTTTCCTATGGTGAGTGTAGAGATCCGGAGATCTTTTTTTACTGGAAACGTGGCATTCTATCCTAGTCCTCAGTGGTGTCAACGCATCTGCGTTTTGATTCTTAATCGATGATAAATGTAGATGTCTATGGGCCACAGCATCCACTTACCACCAGGTGGACGGTGTGTTCAATTGTCACCTTTATTCTAAAAAATACTTATGTATTTATGCCATGATTTAACAGGTTTTTTGTAGAATAGGCTTTAGGAGAGTTAGAATAGGTTTTCAACAGCTGTGATCAGCAATATCAATTGCTGTCGCGCTGGTGCCCAAACAACCGCACAAGACAAACTGTTCTATAGGTGTCGTAAGTGACCTCTTACGACACACATGAGACGAAATATGGGAATGTGAATTATCTAACGCTACCACCACATGGCTATGATTAACATATACTTTTGGACAAATTTAGAGAAACACAAAAGGTAAGTCAAGTCAGTCAAAGAAGTGTGTATAAAACAAAATATCATGGATATTTGTGACACTTAGGTTTATTAAATTAGATTTTGTTTATAGCTCTTATATTCGTTAATTTAAAATTGTAAACGCCGAAAAAACAAACGATCAAATGACAAATAATTAGCTAAATTAGAAAACAAAGAAACATTTTACAGGAAATAAACATTTTTGTTTTTAACATTTTATTCATTGAAAAATGCTTAGAAAAGGCTAAAAAGGCCAGAACTCCGCGGCAAATCATCGTACAGACGTCAAGTTAAAGGGCATTTAATTTCCAATTTTAATCAAAAAATAATATTTAAAAAAAAAGAACTAATAAAAAAATTTTTGAAGCCCGGCAGATCTTTTTTTAAGACGAGCAAAATTTTGGATTTTTTTCACTAGTTTCATTAGTATCACTCGAGAAAACCAAACATGATAAAAAAATTCATTGGCCCCTATCTGAATATTAGACACTTGGAGCTACAATTTGCTTTTTTTTTTGCTGTACGATCATTTTCTTCGGAGTTACAGATTGGTGAAAATCACCCAAAAAAAAAATTAGAATTTTTATATCCCTTAATTTTTATGACCAGTATATATACATCTGTTTTCCAAAGATGATGCACTGAGCGTACCTCTCTCGCGGGCGTCTCCCACTTTTATCTTTCCATCATCATCATGACTTTAGGCAAAATCTGGATGCATCTGTGAATAGAACTTGACTCCAAGCTTCGTCATTCCAATTTCTGTAATTGCGAGTAAAACTTACTCGAGCTACTCGATGGCATGTGGCAAGAAGGGGGGACTCTGGCAAGCAAGTGCGAATTTATTTCTTTTCCTCACAGTTTGTGTGCTTACTGTAACTCTTCGAACTTCTTGGAGCTTCGTTCCTACCTCAGAAGAAGTTAAGGTCTGGTTAAACACACTGATAACGATAAACCAGTAATCTCTAGCCACAGCTTCCCAATTCCCTGTCCTGCGAGTCTCGTATACTGTCCGGTCTGCCGATACCTCTTGGCAATTCGGTGTACCAAAGATTATTATACTCGTAATGTTTGGGCCACATGTTTGTATGTGTGCCCAGTTTCAATTAAGTCACAGCCCTAGCAACTTGAGTGGTGTTTAGATCTGGCATTCTCCATTTATTTTCAGTAACAATTCACACATAACATGATAAACAAAGCAGTCAAGGAATAATATAAACAAAACCTAAATTTAAATTCATATTCAAAAGTTTGCAAAATTTTTCGCAGTATGAAAAAACTTAATATTACGGAATACTTATGAAATTTGAAAAAAAAAAACATTCCAAATCTTTCTTTTTTTAATAACATTTAATAATGTTTGTCGCCAGAAAGCACTATAATTACAATATATAAATATTAAACCTATTTTTGCGTTCCTCTAAATTTATCCATTAATTAATGTATATCAGATTTGGTAACAATTGGCTTAAAAATGGGTAAAACTTCATACTGTTGATAAGAATTTAAGTAATGTCACCAATTAAACAACAACTTTCAAACAAACGTATGTCAACTTAATAAGCATAAACTAAAATTTAGTTTAAAAACTTACATTCCAAATAATTCCATTGATATATTACATTCGGTTAAATGTGTTGCCAGTTCAAAATCTAAAGGCACCAAATATTCCTCCTTTACCCTCTCTAAGTATCGAACAACTTCATTTTGGTTCTGTAATAAAAAATCTGATCACTTTACCAAGATTGTGTAGCCACATTGATTACATTAAATAATTAATCTATACAAATAAATAAATTGATGTGTTTGTATGTAACATTGAAATAACTAGCTTCTGTTAAGCTCAGGGGATTATGTGCATGCCATTAAGGCAAAAATAACCATTTTTGTTTTTCATTCTTGTCTGGTATCTGTCAGGAATAATCTTTGGAATGGCTGAACCGATTGTGATAAAACTGTACAAAACCATAGAATACTACAATACACAATAGAATGGCTGTCAACCTCACTTTGTGGGAGGATTGGCGTCGCCGGGAGCACACATACAAGCAATTACATCGTATTATCTGTTATCACTACTACAAACACAATTTAGACTTTCGATTAATGTTTTTGACACGAAAATTGGAAACGATTATGATGTTAGATGTTAGTGGCTACACGGGCTCCGCCCACTCCCCCGTTCTATTATGTATGTATTATAGTATTCTATGGTACAAACAGAGGAGGGATCTAGAAAGACTTTCGGATAAAAATCCAAAAAATCTTCAAGATTTAAAAAAATTAAATTTGATAAAATAAATGGTCCTTAATTATCTGAAAATTAAATAACGCCGCATTAATAGATCCTATCCATTCGAAGTTGAAGCGCGTCTCTAGTCAAATTATAAAATTAACCTTTTCCATTTAATGGAAGGATTGTGTATTATGTGTATGTATGTAATACAGTGACATGTCACGTAAAGACGTGACTTTTAACTATAAGTTAAATTTCAAGATATAATGAGAGTTTGTCAGTATTTTCCACTGGACTATTGACTCAAATAATACTCTTTGTTTGTAATACAAAAGTTATATGCCGAAAGCCGCACAACGTGGGACCCCATTTCCTTGAGGTGAGCGGTAGACTCATGACACGTTTTGCGGCTAGTAGCCGCGCTGATCATGCAGTCGGTGATGCCATACACTTACATCACATCTGCAGGAACGGCGGTCTGCCAGGTGGTGGCGCTCACAGAGGGTTTTTTATGACCAATGTCACGCATTGACATGCACGACTTCGGTCGACGTTTGTGCTTAAGCATTACCAAGGGGCTAAGCCCTCTTTTACTGGTTCGCCAGTTATTTTGCTGTGGACTACGATCCAGTTCCCAACCTAACGTCCCCTTCGGGGGGAGCGCGTCAGTTGATTGGTGCTCACCACACATGACGTGTGCCTGCCCCACATTTTTTTTAAATGTAGGAGAGCGAAACCCTTGTATCGAGTATTTATATATATGCAAGGTGTAAGTGTAAACACAGTTGTCACTAAAACCATAGGTAGTGGCTTTAATATAAAAATGTTTATCCGAATTTAAATAAAAAGCGCTATTTTTTTTTTCATAAAATTTAAAATGTTTCTGTCCGACATCGTCCATAAATTAATGGAAATATGCGCCCAAGTGACGTAATCACTTTAAAGATCACCGCCCGCGCTAGCCACCTACACAACATTCCAATAAAAACACAATAGGTACACAACCTGTGATGTAACTTTTCATTCATACTTTCATCCTGGCTTAGGACAGGCAAAAATTAAGTAATTAAGGAAAAATTGAGATTTTACTAAAAAAAAGTTGTTATTTTTCATTGAATTTACGTTCTATAAGTGAAACCAAACCACTGGTGTCAAGGATACTGGTGTTTACACTAACACCCTGTATATATATATATATATATATATATATATATATATATATATATATATATATATATACTATACAGGCTGTTAGTATAGGTATATAACGAATTAAAGAAGTACTTACATGTACTGATCTAGAAGTGGGTAATCTACCAGACGCTGTTGGCACTACATCACCGGTAGTGTAAAACTTTTCTAAGCCTTTCATGACAGCATTAAATAACATGCTGTAAAGAAAAATTATATAATCCTTTCTATAGTCTACAGCTTAAAATAGATTTTCCAATATAAATTAATACATACTGACTGTCATGTTCCAAGTACTCCTTATTCAAATAATATTTGAGCGTATCACTGAAAAAGAGGAAAAGAATGATTGTACAAAACATAAAATTAATCAAATAGAAAATAAAAATAATATATAGGTACCTTATATTATCTGGTGCGTATTTCCTATCTGCATGCAATTCAAAAAGTAACGGAGCTAATACTTCGTGCATTCCTTGTCTATAACCTACAGAATGAGATCGAGCCCAGAAAAAAAGCACGCGGACCTATAAATATAATATTTGGTTTCAACAGACGAAAGGTTAAAAAATTTTGCATTAAATGTATATTTTTGTGAATAAGTCTGTACCATTAAGTTCTGAACTTCTTCATCACGGAAGTAGACCTCATCTGGAAACGTCCTCACAACATCTTGGAGTATCAGAGCTTTGAGTTCGTTATCACAGAAGTGTTGTTTCCAGGCACTCTAAAAGTAGTAATAATAAACATAATTGTTACTATTGTTGTAACCTACAAATTGAAATTATATTTGGATGTTACCTATGAAATTGCTATTTTCTAATAGTAATCTAGTTTAAAGCTGAATGAAATTATTTAAAAAAGATTCGTTTTTTACTTATTTTCCCGAGGTTTGTTTTTTCTTTGATATTACTGTTTGCGACCATGGAAAAGTGATAGATATCTTTGTTTGCGAATTTGAGACAAATGGACCACACACTGCAAATGAACTGAAGTTGCGTTTTTGGATCAATCACTTTGAGTAAATTTCGTCTTTAAGAATGAGTGCATTGAAGACTTGATATAATGAGGGATTGAAAGATTTAGTGGTAACGAATTTATTTCACACTACGTCGGAGTTTGTAGCAGCCTTCAATATAAGTGAAAAAACAAGTGTAGTCGATAGATTGCTTATAGGGTGATTATGTTTAATGTAGGGCGGCCCCACCACTAGATGGAGTGACGACCTGGTAATATACGTAGGAAGTCGATTCACGCAGGTGGCTCCGAACCATGTGTTGTGGTATTCCGATGTTCAGCAGTGAATTTGTGAGGGGCCGTAATGATGATGATGATAACTTGGTTACGAAGTTTTTGCATTACCTCGTCATTCTGCGACAGTGGATCATCATCGATGACGGCGCGTGGATCCATTGACAGTTTTACCTTTAGGTCATCATAGAAGTTTCTGTGAGCTTTAATACTGCAACAAATTGTAACAATATCTTTTAGTATTACACTATTTATAGTGTTATTTATATTAGTTATCTTTCAAACCTTGTGTTTGCACAAGTTGAAAGATTTCTTAAAAGAGAAGAGAAGACGATTTTCGTGATTGTTTTTGTAACAATCTATATAAATATAACAGGCATACATTACGTCGTGCTGTGATATACATACAAAAAGTTCTAATAAAAATAAATCATTACTTATTGTCTGCGGCTTAACGACATACGTAAACATATGGAGCCTAAACATGTGATTTGTTAATAATGTGGGTAATTAAAAAAATCATTAACTAACGATACAACCTGAGGGTATAAATATGAAATTTCGTCTTGATAACTTCATTACCTCTTATGTAACCTTCAGTCATAGACGACAGGAATGACTGACTCGACAATGTTGAAAAAAATCGAATACCGTGCGGTGATGAAATTCCTCACTAAACAAGGAAAAACTCAAAAAAACATTAATGAAGAAATGGATGGTGGGCATTTACCAAGACTCTGCTCCTTCAGTGTCAACATACAGAAATGGTCAAGTGAATTCAATAGAGGCAGGGAAAGCATCGAAGACAACCCCCGCCCGTGTGGGCCGATCACAGCGGCTACCGAAGAAAATGTGAAAATTATTTAAAAACTTGTATTAGAAGATGCACGAGTAAGAATTAAGATGTTAGCAGAAATGACTAACCTATCTGTCGGAACTATACACGCCATATTGCATGATTATCTCAACCTCACAAACGCCAGTGCAAGATGGTTGCCACGAATGCTCACTAAGCTTCAAAAGCAAGCGCGGATTGACTGTTGTAGGGATTTTTTAGAGATCTGTGGTGACGACCCAACAAGTGTTTTCGATAGGATACTTACAGCATATGAAACGTGGTTCACCACTATGGCCCTGGGAGTAAACAGGAGTCTATGCAATAACATGAAAAAGGGATCAGACCACCCCAAAAAGTACAGTCACTCCATCCGCCGGTAATATCATGGCTACAGTGTTTTGGGATTAGAAAGGAATATCATTGATCGATTACACAAAATAGGGCGAAACCATCAACGGAGACGAATTCTCAGCAAATTTATATAATTAGAGAAGCAATAAAAGAAACGAGAAGAGGAAAGATGACCAAGGGAGTGCTGCTTCTTTATGACAACGCACCGGTTTACATGGCCGGCTGCTGTACGAGACTGCGGGTTTGAGGAAATTAACCACCACAGGTCAATTTAGCCCCTCAAAGTGACTAATTTTTATTAACTTAAAAAAATACCTTCGGGGAAAGCGATTTGCTGATGATAATGAGCTCAAGTCCGCTGTAAATGAGCATTTTTCAGGCCAAGACGAAAAATATTTTCTCAAAGGAATAGAAAAGCTTTTTTCACGAACAAGTATATGTATTGATGGCATGGGAGACTACATTGCAAAATAAAAAAAATATTTCACAATTTTATCTTTTTTCTAACGTACCCATACCGACAAAACATTGAACGCCCCTCATATAAGGGCTATATAAGGGCTCGGAGTTTTTTGCATGATAGAATCCATAGAAGTAGTTAGTACCAGTTCCGGCTCACTCCTCAGTCTTCGTCGGCTGACGGTGGGTCAACGGATCCTAAAAAAAGAAGGTTGGCATGCTCTGATCACGAATCTATGGTCCTCTTTTGCGTAGGATGCGCGGTCCTGAAGATGTGCAGATCAATTAACTAATATATAATTGATATCCGGTGGGCCTGCACCCGTATTAGCGTTCCACTGTTCAGCCTTTCCTCATATATATTGTTCCTTGAACACCGTCATTGCGCTCTTATCTATTACTCGTTACCCTGCTTAGTGCTATTGTATTATACTTCTTTGTTCGTAACTAACACGCCATTCTGAATCACCAATAAAACACATTCCTCAATTTTGTTACAATTTCTATTTCCAAAATTTTATTGCTTATTATCTATAAAATAGGAGCGAAACATCTCATCCACTAAAGTATTGTTGTTGACACCACAAACTGAATTCCAATCATTCTGAATCCTATCAACATTCAACAATTCAACATTTGTGGTGAATATTGCTTAATATATTTCCTATATAAGTTTCAGGGATGTTCAATGCATAGTTTTACGAGCATATTTATAGGGAACACACAGTACAACGATACTTTAGTGGATGAGATGTTTCGCTCCTATTTTATAGATAATAAGCAATAAAATTTTGGAAATAAAAATTGTAACAAAATTAAGGAATGTGTTTTATTGGTGATCCAGAATAGCGTGGTAGTTACGATCAAAGACGAATAATACAATATCGCTGATTAGGCAGGGTGTACAACGAGTAATAGATAAGAGTGCAATGACGGTGTTCAAGGAATAATAGATAAGATAAAAGTTTGAACACAATGGAAACGCTAATGAGTGTGCAAGCCCACCGGATATCAATTAGCTATTAGTTAATTGATCTGCACATCTCCGGAACCGCGCTTCCAACGCAAAAAGGACCGCAGATTCGTGATCAGAGCATGCCAAAACCTTTTCTTTTAGAATCCCTTGTCCCACCGTCCGCTGAGTGAGCCAGAACCGGTACAAACTAACTAGTCATAAAAAAACATTTCCCCAGTAGCTGATTTACATATATGTACATTCAACATTTATTCTTGGTTAAGAATCAAAAAACAGATGTGTTGTATTTTGGACCTTCGAAGAAGACGTAATACTTCGTTACCAGTAAAAACGGTCTCCAGTTCTCTACATTTACCCTATGAAAGACTGATTTAATATGCTGGGTTATATTTAAAGTCACTGGTCTGCTAATTTAAATTAGATGGTAGCCATGAAACATATGTATGTTAATTGTTGCAATCTTCTAGACTGGTAGGGAATGCCATAAGACATTAAATCCGATTTTTGTAACCCTTTGTTGAAGGTATTTGCAATAAAGGATATCGGCTTAAGCCGTATCACCACATTACTCGGCTTAACGCTAATCAACTGTTGCGACAGCTGTTCACATTCGTTCGACAGATGACTCATCGTTCATCATTCTACTGTTGTCCAGCGCCGTTCAGCAGTGTCCTGCGTTTGTCGGCTGCCGTCGGAGATGAAATCTTGCGAGCGTATTATTTCAACGCCGTTCGGCTACCATCGGAAACTTAAACACTTCGACGTGGGCGTCCGGCTAATTTCAGCGCGGTACGGATGCGATTAGCTAATCGGCAAACCGGTCTTTTTGCTATCGAACGAAGTCGTGAGCCGTTGAGAATGGCACTAGCAACACTCGTATTTCGTAGACATAAAGGTTTTTCTGACCGGCTGATACCGCGTCGGTAAACGTGGGGACTCCCTTGTAATATATAATGTTAATTTTAAAATGATGAGTGTTGAGATGTTTTTCTTAAAGTTTATGTTTACAGAGTTAAGTTGCAGTAAGCCTAATCCTATGTACATTGTATGTTGATATGAAAAAAAATAACCTGCTTATAATATCACTTGAGGGCGGAGGAAGAGCATTCAGCATGATAGCCCAAGCTAAGCTTCTCGGCTTCACCAGCTTTAACTGAATTGCAGCAGATTTTAAGTATTCCAAACTCCATGTTGAAAAATGCAAACTGAAAAAAATCATGATATATTTTATAATGACACTGTTTGTTTGTAGTACATAACAAAAATAACGCATAATGTATATGTTTACCATGTCATGGTTCTAAAAGAATGTCCACCACTGTACAACGTCACGTACACGGTATCGTAAGAGGTGATATAGGTAGGATTGACACCCGTACTATAATATAGAGTATAGTACTATATTTCAGTCAATTGTACTATACAAGGTGTAAGTGTTAACACCGAAAACAGAGCGAAACCCTTGTATCGAGTATTTATATATATGCAAGGTGTAAGTGTAAACACAGTTGTCACTAAAACCATAGGTAGTTGGCTTTGATATAAAAATATTTATCCGAATTTAAAAAAACGCTATTTTCTTTCATAAAATTTAAAAAGTTTCTGTCCGACACCGTCTGTAAATTCATGGATACCCTATGCGCCCGAGTGACATAATCACTGTAAAGATCACCGCCCGCGCTAGCTACCTACAGAACATTCCAATAAAACACAATAGGTAAACATAACCTGTAATGTAACTTTTCCTTCATACTTTCATCCTGGCTTAGGACAGGCAAAAATTAAGTAATTAAGGAAAAATTGAGATTTTACTAAAAAAAAAGTTGTTATTTTTCATTGAATTTACGTTCTATAAGTGAAACCAAACCACTGGTTTCAAGGATAACGCTGTTTACACGAACAACCTGTATATTATAGAAAAATAACATAGTAGGAAAAATACTATATTTCATTGCATTCCCTGATTCAACTGTCGCGATATTTTATATTAAGTATTTTTACAGAAACAATTTTTACCATCAGGAATCTAAAATTAAAAGAAGACAAAATAAGAGCATGTATAAATTTAGTTAAAAATTAATTGTTAATTTATTTTAATATGCATCTAAATTGCTCAGACTCCTATAATTATTTTAAAGGGACGGTAATGTGGTTAGATCATTGATAGCCAAAGCATAGAGCAATATCAAGTAATAATGGAAAATTATATAAAGATTAACTTTTGGGAAAATACTATATTTATTCAAAAAAAAAGGTGGCAATCCTAGATTATAGGGAATCTAACTAGGAGATGGGCAGCAATGTCTTCTTAAAACAACTAAAAAAATAAAACTGCAGTTGCTAAATTCCCTGTCGAGCCTGGCAACTGTGGTAAACATCCTCCCTATGAGGCAATCTATGGGGGAGGTCTATGTACAGCAGACTTAATAAGCTGTAATGGTATGGTAACAGTTATTGAATGTTTCATTCACAGCCTGGACTCAGATATTGGCAGTCGTTCACATTTTTAGAAAGCATCTAAAGCTGTTGGTCCTGATTATAATAATATATTTATTCAGACTTTGTCCATATAGATATTAATAGAACAATTACCCGGATGACCGAGCTTTGATCGGTTTTTTTAATTCGTGTGTTTTGAAAATTATATAATACATACAGATGAAAAAAATATTTTTTGATCTTAGCGACATAATAGAAAAAAAAATCATGAGTGCAATTAGTTTAATTTAAATTTTCGTGTTTTTAAAAAATACTAAATAAAGGGCTCGAAAAAATAATTTTCTCAAAAAAAGAAAGGAACTTGAAAAAAAAAATTAAAAAAAAGTCGGTCGGTCAGTCTGGGCTCGAACCATGGTATTACGATTTTGTGACCGCCCAATATACCAATTAAGCTATTTGTAATCAATAATAGACTGTCAAAATTTACCTTCTTATTCTGACAATATTGTAGCAGTTTTTCATTGTCTAAAAACACACTAGATCGATTTATTGCCCCCGAAACTCCCTGTACACAAAATTTTGAGATTCCGATTATATATATATATATATAATTTAACTTTTTTTAATATTTTCAACATATTAAACATTGCGCATACACTACAAATAATTTATTTATTTATTTTTATTCAATTTTAGATGTAGGCTGAACCAGTGACATATAATGGCAGAATCCCACCTAACAGCAAGTGTATTAGTAGAGTTACATAGTCGACTCAATAATGAAGCAGACCCTTCACATATAATGGCATAAAAGCTATCCGCGTGTGCCTCAGCGAACATGGCAGAGGCACTACAATACTATAGAGATTATGAGAGTGTGGTAATAGAGTGCACTTGTGTTTGTGTATTTTAATTCTGTGTGGATGGCTAGTATCCAATGTGCTTTTAGTTATAGCAATATGAATCAGTTCATCACTTGTACTTTAAATAACACAAATATTTAAATGTAATTTTTTGTATTTTTTCTGATAATCGGTCATGGGTTTCTTCATATATTGTATATTTTACAAGAGGCAAAATTCAGAAGGCATTTTGTGTGGGTGTATTAAGAGGTTGCTACAGAAAATAACAAAAAGATCTTATGGCTTTTGCTGATTAAGTTGGCTGCTGGTGTCGTTCAGGCGAAAAATAAACTAAAAAAATTTTGTGATTGCATGTACATCCACGGGGAGGATGACATAGGCATCACTTCATATGTTCTAGTGCAACTGGGAATAAGCTCGGGATCATGTACTCAGCAGTGTAACACTTATGTTGCAAATATACACCTTACTATAAAAATCGCAGTAAGTGCTACTGTCCCCATACGCACACATACTTATTTATCATAGATAAGGAACAGTACATAAGGTAAGTACCAATTTTTCATTTGTACAAGGGCGGTTTGAAAAGTTCTCGGCCCGACTAAGCAAACAAAGAAAATAAAATAAAAAAAAACGGTATATATTTTTCTACATATTCCCTTCTTATCTCAATACACTCATTCAATATTTGCTCCAGTGATTTTATGCCGCTTTTATAGACCTATTCCCATTTAAGTTTGGGAACAGGATAAAGTCTGACCATGCTAAATCAGGTGAATACGGGGGCTGTTTTAATAATTCTAAATGGACTTCATTGAGCTTAGCCATTGCAACAACTGACTTGTGCACCAGTGCATTAATCTGATGAAAAAGGATTTTCTTTTGGCTAATCCCGACTGCTTTACACAAATTTTGTTGACTAATTTATCAACAGTTTAGCATAGTATGCGCCTGTTATAGTCTATCTTTTTGGGAAACTGCTCAAACTCAAACCCCTCATATATATTTTACATATATTATTTTTATTAATTAATAATATCTATGTTACAAGTATTATGGAAGCAGCGTGAGGGTGAGATAATTATGCTATGAAATAATTGTTATAGGCCTATGATTGAAGAGAATAAGGATTATGAAAACTTGACATGAACTGTACAAAAAATATTTAGGTAAATCCATAGACATCTGATACTTAAGCATGGGGTTGGGAGGGAGTGGGGTTAAGGAGTTGGGTACAGGAGAAGCCCCCTCTATTCTTCCCCCCTTATGGAAATGTATAGTTTATGAGTAATTTTTTGTAAAATCATAACCTCACTTTTTACACAGGAATAATGACCCAAAGTTACTTCTATAACAGCTTCAACACTGCGGAAGATGCAGCCCCTTTACCCTTGCATATCAAATTGCAGACACCCATGCTCACCTCTACAGCTTTGGCTTATTGATTGCCTGCAATTTACTATGGTGGCTACTCTCCTTCCACGAAGATGGCTTTACAAAAACACTAGGGGTAGGGCAGACTACATGGAGTCCAGGTGTGCTGATTAGGTTTTAGAACAGATTCAATCTATCTATAGTCAGGTTGCCCTAAACTCTGCTATGATAGTGGTAAATGAAAGAATGTAATGTGAATTGTTATAATTTTGTTTCTGAAAAACCTCTTGACTGCCCTCGTCTGCGGCTTGAGTCCTGTCTTTAGCTACAAATGGATTGTGAGGGTTTGAGTGCTAAACTTTTTATGGTTGTATCCATGATAAGAAAGAATAAATTGACATTTCTGCATTTCGTTACATGAAATTTTTGGTGATATTTATTTTTATCATGATTCAAGCTTAACCCTGACAAACCTAAATTGAAAACAAAGTATAAAATCAAGTACTGAATGTCCACTTCATAATACTAGACCAAATTGACATATTTGCCTTTCATTACAAATGATTTTTAGTGAAATTTATTTTTATCGTAATTAATTCAAAAAAATATTTCTGACATCTAAAAACAGTGTAATAGAGTTCAAAAGTAAAGGTTCGAGTTTAGTCCTAACAAGCCAACTAAAAACATTATTAAAATCAAATACCGGACGTCTATACCAACCCTATATGTATGCATATTATAGTTTATTTTCTCCAAAAGACTACTTATAAATTTTTTAAAGAATTTTAAATATAGAAATATCATAAAAGAAATCAATCTTTATAAAATGAGTTTCTATGGTTAGAAGAATACCTAATGTTTATACTAAGAGAGAGTAATAGTTCCAAAAAAGTTATGAACAAAGAAAAAGTCAATATTTATCATCTGATAACATTGTTACTCACGCGTAGTCCACGGCTTCTACGTGATTATTTCCTGGCGTATTTGTTGTAAAATCTATATTGTTCCGCTCCTAAACATAATACGAAATTTAAAATGAACTGAAATTTAACTAATATTCTTAAAGAAATGAACCTTACTCCTTACCATATTACAATAAAAACATACAGTTTACTTTCCTACACATTAAATCAGATTATTATTTATGTCATTTAACCTCTTTAGGAAAGCCAATAATATGTTTTGTATTAAATTCCATTGAAAAAAACATATATTTTCGTTTACAAAACCCGTTGATAAATAAAAAGGAGAAAATCATAGATTACTATAAATTATTTAGAGCAAGAAAAATGAAATGAATATTGACATTTGATTTGACAACTGAACAACTGATAGTCATTACAGGTACTTCATTTATTTGAGTATGGTATGATAACAGGTACTTGATTTCATGTGATGTCTGTGATCTCAGTAATCGATACTGTTGCTTGTGGGCTCGTGGAAATAGAAGTGAGTGATTAAATACTTTTTGGTTGATTTAATATACATAATATAGCGTTATTTGAGGTGCTAAAACACTCTACACACTGAGTAGATAGCACAGACGTTGTAGCAGCTTAATTTAATTATTTATATGAATATTAAATATAATTCTAATAACGGTTTAAAGCATACGTTGGTGCATAATTTGAAATTATAATATAGCAAATTTATTATGAGTTTATTGAGACAAAAGATTTGACAGTTATTTTATTACTGTTGCTTTTATTAATGTAATATGTAATTCAATGAGCCTTAAACGCTATCTATGTATTGTATTTAAGAGAAGCTACAGTACTATTTTTAGTATGTCTAATTGAAAAAAGGTGTATTTTAATAAGATATGGTTCTATCAGGTGTCCCCCAGATGGTTACAATATGATCATATGATCATATTATAATAAAGAGAGTATATTATCTGATTAAAAAAAAGTGGCATAATATACATAATTCATGTGAAAAGACCAGAGAGCGTTCTTGATACGATTTTATAGTGCCCTTTTAAAAGTCTTCAAATAAAGAGAAGGTCAAGAAAAAAACTGGGTTAGTAAAAGATGTTTAAGTGACTAATAGTAATTTACTTCTAGAAACCTTTGTATCCTATTACGGTAAAATACTTTTGATATGTGATTTTATTAGACTATGCTCACTGGTATATCCGATATATTTTTACACCTTAAAAGGTAAGCATCATTTAATATTTACCATAAACATTTTTGTTTCATGAATAAGTTTGTGATTTTGTTGGATTTTATCAGAGAAAACAAGATCGAATTTTTATCACACAGATTTTTAACACATGCAATTATTTTGCCAGTGGGGCGTATAAGCCGTCACAATTTGCCACTCACAAATATCTCTAATGTGATAATCTGAGGCATTTGAGGTATTTTTAGTTAGTCTGTGATCTTTGAGATTTTACTCTGTGGACCTATGGATCTCTCTCTCTCCTTGTCGTTAACGAACGCGCTCGCTTGCAGCGTTCTTGGAAAAATTGACTTCTTGTTTAGAAGAATTTCGTTTCGTCGTCGTATTTTGACATCTAATAATAAGACATATGTGTTGTAGATACAATGTTTATGGTAGCCGTGTTGATAATGAAGTGTAATATATTAACCGTTAGTGAGTTTCCGACTGGAGCAACATCGCAAGCGCTGACCCCTCTGCGATGACCATTAGCTGCACCAAACATGATCGCCAATCTGCCGTTACTTTTAGCGAACGGCAACCCTAGGGCATTATCAACTATTTCAGCAGCCGAGCTCGAGAAATTCATAACGTTTATGGTGACTTGTTCCTGGGGCCACGACACTGCCAAAGACATCCGCCAGCCACCTTGGTGGCCACAAGACGTAGAATTTTCGCATCCTTTTATGAAACCGTTGGTAGTGCCAGAGGATTGGGAAGCACGATTAAAGAATCTAGTGAGAAAATGTTACGATTATCACAAAAGCACTTTTTTACTAGTGTTCTCGGCACAGCTTGCACGGTACCCACAGAAGAGGCTAAGGTACGTCGACAATCGTGATCACACCACCTCCCTTTATTATAGGCCTAGTGGACGTCTACTTGCGACTTTTAGAAATGAAAACTTATACTATGATAGGAGAGAGTTAATTAAAAAAGAAGAACCACTGGTGAAGTCTGCTGATATATATCTGTGTGACAGTTGTGACAGCCATTTTGACAATTTAGACATATTAGAAGCCCACGAGAGGCTGTGCAACAATGACAGTGTGCCTTCTGGTACATGTAGTGGTGGTTTATCAGAATTTCTTTCAGCTTTAAAACTGAAACCTACACAGGAGAGCGGAGAGGGGGCTAATGTTAAAAATATTGAAGAGGATACAAAACCAAAAAATACTAGAACAGCTGCCAATATTGATAGAGGTCCACCTTATCCTTTCTCTTCTTTGGCTTATATGAGGAATGCTAAAACACACATTCAGAGGGATAACACCTATGCAAGAGAAAGAATTGAGAGGTACTGTTGTACATCTACTCTTTTTAACAAAAATGTAGCTAGTAAAAGTAGAAATAATCAGTTTCCTATTAGATACAGGAGACCTATAGACTATTGGCACCGTACCCACACATTTCCTAACCAGAGAAATAAGGAAATACTTGATTTGAAAGGCCAACTTCTTTTGTTAAAGTGTAAGCCGATATCTGTAAATATTGAAAGGATGTCAGCGAAGAGTATTCAGGACTACATTGAGAAGCTACAGAAAGAAGCAGAAAGTAAAATGCATTGTATAGAAGAAAAGGACATAGTGTATGTTGATGGGTTGGACTTAGACTCACCAATGGATGTAGATATGAAAAGTTCTGACCCACTTAAGAGATTAGATAATGACTGTGAAGTGATTGACTTGTGTTCAGATGATGAGACTCCTAGTGGGAATGAGAATTGTGATCCCAGAGCTGGGATCACATGTGTGATGCGTGGTGGTGCTGTGTTACGGCGCACTGCTGCAACACCACATGCACTGCCAGCAGAGCCCTGTGGTGCACGTCAGCGCCCTCTACCTACTCTACAGCATCTGCCCTCTGCTATCCTGCAACCACATCCTGTGATCCTTATTACACATACTCTGAACAATTTACAAACTATATCCATAGATTGAATTTATGTATTAATTTAACTATAGTAGGTATATTCTAATTATTATTTATTACAATCTTCTTGATTAAAAATCTTAATCTTAAATTTGTATGTTTTATTTCAGATGTTACAGTTTTGCTTTCAAAACTAAAAATTGAGATATGCTTATGGCATTATAGAGCTATTTCCTAAATTATTCTTGTGTGATATATATAACAACCAAGAACTGATTTAGTAAATGTATCATATAACTATAACTATATAAACAGTTTTATTAATAAAATTAATGAAGTTTGTTAGCTTATGTGAGGCCAGCTCCTTGTGTATAAATTATAAATATTTACCTATTTTCTGTTATTCTCTAGCTTATATATACCTAATTACCAAACATAAGCATGATGTTAGTAATTGTTCCTTAGGTTTGTTTAATTACTTTTAACATGTTGCAGTATTAAGTTTCCGAATTTGCCAATAAATACCTAAATTGTTTATTTTTTTTTTCCTTTGTATAATTATTTTGCTATAAATGTTAAATCTGTTACAGTATCACACGTTTAATATGTGATGATAGACTTACATATATACCTACTGTATAATAATAGGATATTAGTTTATTTAAAATAAAATAAATCGAAACCTTTGTAATTTTTGCCGTTTTATTTGCATCCCAAAAACAGAAATATATAAAGATACAAGTAACAAGTAAGAGAAAGGAAAGGACTAAGATCGTAGGTTCGCCGTTCGTAAAGTGTACCTATTAAGCGCGGCGCGGGAGCGAGAGTAAAACAAGATGGCGTCCGAATCCGATAGTCGTCCAAATTGGTGACTCAAGCTAAAGTAAAACGTAATGCATAAAAACTGTTTTATTTGCGTTTATTTTTCAAACTGACAAGTGACCATTTCGTTATTTTTAAACATTGAGATATTAAGTACTTCGTAAGAACATCATACTTCAATATACGTAACATAGTAAATTAGGTTATTGTGAGGAAAGTACATAATATGAAAAGTACAGGTTTTCTGATATCATTATTGGAATTTTCATGCCGTTATCGAATGCTTTAGTTTTAATCTAGTGGTTATTATAAACTCTGACATAATATGTTGTTATTTGATAGGTACGTTAGGTTATTTTATTAGTAGGTACGTAACGACAAAGACTAAATTGGTAGGTAATGAAATAAATTGCTTACTGCTGCTTATATTTTTCGGGTAATCAATTTTTATGCGATTTTAAGCCTACAAATTCATACATAATAGTGACAATGTTTATGTATACAGGCTGACTCCAAATTCCAGGCAAGTCAGGGCTGACCTGATACTGACATAAGTAGTGTAAATTTATTTGGGAGTCAGTATGACGCCACAGCGCCAGTGCTAACTCCAATATTCCTGCTTGGATATTTTGAAGTCAGTCCACTCCGCCCACCACCCGCTATGGCGCGGTATTGACCTTGTCTACACAACCAAGTCAGTACTTGGTTTAGTAATCTGTGACTTGGTTAGTCGCCGGCGAAACGTTGTAGGGTGACAACAATTAGTCAATATTCTTCGTTATTAATTCTTACTTTCTCATTTAACCTTTGAAGCAATAAATACAATATATTTGAACAATTTAGCAATGACTAGTTTGTTTTTATTGTTTATTGTAGAATATTGACCTCCTTGGTTTATTGAACTGAAAATAAAATTTTCTGTCAGTTTTAAAAAATGACATTGTCAAGATAGCAAGATGTAATATTGTTTTTTGTACCTAATTTAAATGAAAATAAAAGAAGCAGTATAAAAGTGAGTGTTTCGTCTCAAATTCTTCAAATATCACCACTACCTACTTTGGGGGCTCGTCCGGGACAGCCAAAAATTTGAGGCGACGAAGACTGAAGACTCGAAGATTTATCACAAGTAATTCAATGGAAAGTGCCGCTTTGGAATTTGGATATGAAGATTTATTTTAGACTAAAGACTTAATGAGTTCAAAGAAGCTATTATTTTGCACGACTAATACTAGTTGGACAATCACAATGCCGCCTTAGAAAGATGTAAAAGAAAGTGAAGATGAAGAGTAGCAGTTAGATATACAGATTTCATTTAAAGACTTGGAGAAGTCGATGAACATTTTTACCGGAGATGACACCTATCCTATTGAGAAATTTATTGATTGATGAATTTGAAGATACTGCCGAAATTATGAATTGGACTAAACTCGAGAAGCTGATCTATGCAAAGAGACTTTTAGGCGCTACTGCCAAGTTTTTACGATCGTTAGGAAGCGTAAAGGACTACGAGAGTTCAAAAAAAAAAACACTTAAGGAAGAATTTGGCCCCAAGATTAACAGCGCAACCATACACAAGAAACTTGCATCGCGTAAGATGAAGAACGATGAAACGTATCAACAATATTTCCTGTCTATGAAAGAATTAGCATTAGCCAAGGTTGAAGACGCTGCACCGATTGAGTATGTCATTGATGGCATTCGTGACCTAGAGACCAATAAAGTTATTTTATATGGCGCTACAGATCTAAAGGATTTTCGCAGGAAGTTGGAAATCTACAGTGCCTTTAAGACGAAGGTGCCTAAGAAATCGGCACGGTCTGGCCAATCGCATGGGCATCATTCAACTCGTAAGATGACTCGTGTTAAAAGATGTTACAACTGTGGCGAACTGGATCATCAATCGCCCACCTGTCGAAAGGGAATCAAATGCTTTAATGCAATGAATTTGGTCACAAATCAACTGAATGCACAAGCCAACCTAAGAAGACGCTGAAAGTTAATAATAAAAGTGAAGAAGAGAAAGTACCCTACAAAAGAATTAAGATTAATGGTGAAGAATTTGTTACCTTTATAGATACTGGAAGTGATATTAATACACTTCTTCTTCTGAGGTTAACCTCATCACAAAATCAGAATTCGAGAAGGTTAAAGAGGGAATTAATGATTATAAAACAGAATCAACGTGTATAGCGGGAATAGCCGAAAAACAAATTCGTACTGAAGGAATGTTTACAGCCAATGTTCAAATTGATAATTACTACACAGATGTCAAAATGTAAGTGTGTGAAAGACAACGAGATACCGGTAACTTTACTAATTGGAAATCCTATCCTTAAGGATTTCAAAGTTTGTTTCACTCCTGAAGGTGTCTTTATAGAAAAGATTATGCATCTAACACTTCTAATGGAGGAAAAGGACAACGAACAAGAATATGATATAGGATATTCTAAATACGCGGAAAAGATTCGTAAGATGTCTGAAGAGTACAAACCTAATGAAAAGAAGAAAGAATGTGACGTTGAATTGAAAATAATACTTACCGATGAAGATCCAGTTTATCAAAATCCCTGACGTTATTCACCCTTAGATATGAATGCAGTAAATACGCAAGTAAAATAATGGGTAGACAAAGGAATAATCAAACCTAGCAAAACTGATTTCGCCTGTCCTGTAGCTCTGGCTGATAAAAAAGATCGTTCACGTAAAATGTGTATAGATTATCCACGATTAAATAAAAATGTAATCAAAGAAAGAATTCCCCTACCTATAATCCAGATAGACAAGTTGAAGTAGGCCAAAATGTTCACGTCCCTTGATCTGAAGAATGGCTTTTTACACGTGAAAGTACACAAAGGTAGTCAAAAGTACACCTTATTCGTAACACCCCAAGGCCAGAACGAATTTCAAAGAATGCCTTATTGATTGTGTACAGCGCCATCTGTGTTTCAAAGTGTGTGCTTTATTAACAATATTTTCAGTCATCTAATTACCGACGGGACACTTCTAGTGCACCTTGATGATTTAATCATTCATTGTGCGACGGTGTACCGTAGTGAAAAATGTTTATTATTTTGTTGTGTTGTTTATATACCGCCAAAATGCGATGCGAGGAAGTGTCCCGAGTGATTCCTGTGTTGAAAGGAAGATCGGGTTCCAAGGTGGATGAATATAGACCGATAGCCGTATTGTGTGCAATCGCTAAGGTATTTGAGTCGATTATTTATAAATATGTTAATAATCAAGTGAACTCGCAACTTACTGAAGCTCAGCATGGTTTTCGGCCAGGTTGAAGTACTGGGAGTAATTTATTGTCTTTTATAAATTATGTAGTGCCAGTAGTGGATGCTGGGAGCCAGGTGGACACCGCATATTTCGATTTTCGAAAAGCCTTCGATACCGTTGATAACGATATCTTGTTGGTAAAGCTTGCGGAGTTTTTTTTTACACGTAGCTTACTAGATTTCTTTGCGAATTATCTGAGTGGACGTCAACAATACGTAGATTTTGCAGGTTTTGAATCGCAGCCGTATTGTACTTATTCTGGAGTGAGTCAAGGGAGTAATGTTGGTTGTAAAAATAATAAAGTTATTTATGTTAATGGTTAATGATCTTCCTACGGTCGTTGAAGAGGCGCAGTGTTTGCTATTTGCCGATGATCTTAAATTTTTTTTGAAAGTAAACAATGCTTCTGACTGCCAAAGTCTGCAAAGGGACATTGACAGATTGGCACAGTGGGGAATGGAAAACAAATGGAATTTCAATGTGAATAAATGTTGTATCATGAGTTATGGTCCTGCAAAAGCCCCTCAGAAGTATGCTTAAGAAATGAACGGCCTCGTAATCCCGCGCGTTACATATATTAGAGACTTAGGCGTTGAGATGGTCCCGGAACTTAATTTTCGTAAGCACTTAATGATTTCTTATATTTACGCGAACACTATACATTGATTAAAACTACTTTTACGGATTTTATCGCGTTTTATTTATATTAATTTTAATACCCGACGTTTTGGGTGCTTTCCAGCACCCATGGTCCGGGGGACTGAGGAGTACCTTCAGCTTTTTAATTATTGTTTTTGGTCCGATCTACGTAGAATAAACTAACTGTATTTTGAAGTCTTGCAGTCCCAAGCAGGTGGTAGTACCCAGCCTCCTTCTCTATTGAAATTAGGATGTTTTTTTATTTCAATAGCCTCGCGTATCATCCTTGGTAGGAATCGATGTTCTTTCGCGAGGATTTGTGGTC